TGTAAAAGCTTAAAAAGAAAAAAAAAGCCAAATAATGATTCTTCATTTTAAGCTTATGAAGAAAACAATTTAAATACATATGTTATATGATTAAAATATGTAAAATTTATAATTTAATTATACAATTACAGAGCCTTATGATCTAATAGCCCCACTGTATTTTGCACATAAGTGAACAATTGCTTTCCTAAAGCACGCAGTAGAACTCATTTACTTGATGCTGGAGAATAAGTTAATTACGGATCTCCTGCCTTTGATTAATGGATTTAATAATCACGTTACAGTAGAATTAACTTATACTTCATGTGCTTACAGCACTAGTGATGAGAGTCATGAAAGCTATGTGTCATTATATAGGAGTGGCACCAAAAAAGGACACTTGGAGAGATCCCAGGACTGCCTGTGCCTGCGTGGCTGCGGGTCAGCAGTTCTGCTGGGAACCCGCAAATGGCATCCTAGCACTGTTGCCGCATCTGTCGTTAATCTCCACCATTTGCTGCCATCCACTCGCTTCTACAAAACAAATTATCCTTTTCAGGTGGCCACATGCTTTCTGCTTTAAGGACTAGGTTCCAGGAAAGTGGTAAAGAGACATGAGAAACCATTTCTCCAATACGATTTTGCTACCATAAGCAAAGGCTACATCCACTTTGAAGCCAGATTCTGCGCTGCGTTACATCAGTAACGTCAGCGGAGAGAGAGACCCCATATAAAACCAGCAGGGCACAGTCTCAGGCACTGCGCATCCCCAGCAGGACCTGCCAAACCCTTGTAAGGTGCAAGGCGGGTGACTCGCAACAGCCTTTTAACAAAAAAGCGTGTCTCATTTTCTGGGTGCTGCTCTGAGACACCTCTGTCGCGTTTGCACAAGTAGCCACTGCAGCCAGCGAAATACGGAAGGTTCTCTGAACATCTCAAATGAAGTTCAATGCCAGATGCCACGGAGAAAAAAATATCCTAGGGGGTTGGCACAGTAGCACATAATGCATTATACAGCATATACCCAACAGCAACAGCCACCTGCAGTCTGCCATTACCCAGTGTAACAGACTAAACATTGATGGAAACGAGTGGAGTCAGCTGAGATGTAGTGTCTCCAAACGAACCTCAAGAACAGGTAGTAAATACAACCTAAACAACAGAGCATTACAGTTTTCAAACTCCACTTTGCCTGTTCAACCAGGGGAACCAGTGAGGGACAGAGAAGGTAGAACAGAAAGTTCAAAACTTTTTGCGCTTTGCCTTTACTCTTTGCAGGGGCTCCTAGCATGTCTGTATAAGAACTGGCCTATGAGCCTGAAACCTATCTGCTGAGCGCTTACAGAGGTCAGGAGCCAGACTCAGAGACCTTTATGTAAGTAAAACTCCCGCTGATGCAAATAAAAACAGAATAAAGATGTTAGGAATAAGCCCACAGTCTTAGTCACCTGAACAGCGTTTTGCCTGAAAGAACGGCATCTCAGGCATCACTAGCAACAGGATTTCAAATTGCATCAGCCACGTACCTCTTATTACCATGCAAAGTAGAATAATGCAATACAACTCAGCAGCTTAGCATAACACCGGGCCATGAGAAGAAGGCAGGAAATGAATAGGAATACAATTTCCTAAACTATTCACTTAAAGAAATTATTTTGCAAGATTTTGCCGATGTCCTGGTGGAAGAAAGAGTCTGAGTGAACTGGAAGAGCAGGGCAGTTTTGCTGTTTTCACTCGCTGCCTGTTGCCTGACTCACATACTGCCCCTTGTACAGAAACCTGGCAGAACTCCTCGTTCTGCTCGTGCCACATGGAAACAGCCTGAAAAAGTGAGATAAAGTGAGCTCCATGTCCTGTGCTACTCCCACCTGCTGAGACCGCAGAGATACTAATGCTCTTCAGCTTGCCAGTTAAAGAAATTACTCACTGAGCTGTTCTTATTTTGTAGCTGATGGTAGAAGAATCCCCACTTGCACTGCAGCTGCCTACCTCCATGGACATCCAGCTCATGGTGGTGCAAGCGCATATGAGTTTTGGGTCTCCTGAGGACAGCATGGCAACGCATGAGTGCACTGTCCTGCTTGCTGGGCTCCTGCTGCCCATCAGCAGCACCTGTGCAAGCTCAGGGCCTGATCCTGGCAGCATGAGCACCACTCAAGAGCGTTGTCTGAGGGGAGCAGCTTCTGGAGTTTCAGCTGAGGGGCACATTTGACCTGGCTTTTAGTTTTCCTGGCAACGTGTTGGGGGATGATGTCTGAAAAAGAGTTGGTGTGTTTTGCTGCTCGTTTTGCTGCTCCAACAGCAACGCTAATCCACTGCTAGGGGCTATTGCTTGTGTTTCATTCCGGGGCCAGGCTACTAGGTCAGTTACAGAGAAATCTAGGTAGTTTGGGACTCGTGATGAAAATCAATGCTTTTTTTCAGCCATACCCACAAAGCAAGCTCCAGAGATTAGAGGCACACTGAAATAATGCATATTTTATTACTGAACCAGATAGGACTGTGCCTTCATACATTATGCTTCACAGACCAAATGCAACACTCATTCCTTGTGCTTGCTCCCTCCCTTTCCCAGCCCTTACTACAAACCTCTGAACGCATCTGCCCTGTGTTTGCATTGCTCCATGTTGCTCCTCACCCCCTGCCAGCTTGTCACAGGTGAGGTCGAGAACCTCTGGACAAAACAACATTCAGCTGTAGACGGTCATGGGGCACCTGGTCAAATGAGACCACAGGCTTGCCCACTTTTTAATTTACAGGTTAAGCCCGTCAAGAGCTCAGATTGTATCAGTCAGATCAATGCAAAAAATGCTTACCACAATATTTATGACAAGTTTCCTCAGTGCCAGCAATGAAGTCTTAGTTGATGTTGTTTTACCACGGACTTTTTGGTGCCGACCACTATATGACAGGGACAGGACACACGACCCTGTATATTTATGTTTTCCAGTTCTCAAATCACATGTTGCCTGGAAGGAGGCATGCAAAGTTCAGTCTTACCCTGGGCAGTGCTGGCCTTCAGTCCTTGCCTGCCTAGGCGCCACTTTGCATATGTGGGGTCACTGCTACAAACACATGCAGTTTGTATGTCGCATAAGGCTCAGCAAATCCTTGTCCTTTAAATATTCATCCCCTACAGCTGTAGGCACAAATAATAAAATAGACAGTGATGACTAGACCCTATAATGCAAAACTAAAATATCCAATTAGAATTTGATGAGGAAGTGTGAAATAAAATACATTAAGCAGAATAAGAAGGTAGGACATGAAATCAATTTCCCATTAAATTCATTGGTTACTTTTTTTCTGACTCGCAATGTTAAAAGCATCGATTACACACATAATTTACTCCTCTACATCTGATTCTGTGTTCAAAGCCGGACAATGGTACAGAAGATGAATGTGCCCAGCCATCACGTAAGCAGTAAGAAGGGCCCTGTGGGTTTCTCCTGGGAGGTTTGAAGAAGGGCTCCACCAAGGCAGGCAAGAGGGATGTTGCACCACACGCAGTGGTTGGGAGAGGGAAGCGATCTCAGAACAATCTCCTACTCCTATGGAGGCGTGAGGTAAGCTCAGGTGATGCAGAAGGTATGAAGCTGGAGCCAGGAAAAAGGCAACAGATATGTTTGAAAAGGAAAGTAAATATACGTTCCCCATAAGCTATGCCCTAACAGACAGGACCAGAGGAGGTAAGGCTGGTACAATAAAATGCCTCCTTACCTGTGCTTAAGTAAGCAGCTAAGCGAAACAGGTTTAAAAAAAAAGGTAGGAAAAAGTCACTTGTGTATGATTTTGGGACAATTACATACAAGAATGATTCCTCTTTTATTTCATTTGTCTTTTTAACAATGTCTTAGCCTTATAGTTGTAAATTAATTTTTTAAACCTTTACCTTGAAAGGTAAAAGTATTAGTCTCAGTATGCACAAAGAGCGATTTTAAGCTAACTAACACACAAAGATGTTTCATTTGTAGGGAGTGGCGATCCTTGACCCTTGATACTGAGTGATGCCTGCAGGGTAAATGAACCCAGTATGCTTCACCTCTGCCTCCAATAGACAGTGAGATGCATCTCCATTGAGCTGCAGTGGTAACACAGTAGATGAGACATCTTCCACTTTGCACTGTGAGGGAGGGAAGCTTTCTATGAGGTAGGAATAGCAAGGAGCATGCCTAATTCCTCAGCTCTACAAAGCAAAGTACAACACAGGGCCAGCAATGACTCTGCAAGCCCATCTCCCTAAATCAGTGGAAGTTCATGTACAGAAAAGGAGAGAGTAAATCACAATCACCTCCTTCATCTTTCTCACCTCCTCCATCTTTCTTCATAATTCCCAGAGTAAGTACATCTTGGGAAACAGAAGCAGAAAAGCATTCTGGAGAGATGAGTGACACATCTAACTGCAGCACAGCCTGCTTCTGGCGTGCTCTGAAGATGCTGCGGCAGCTCGCTTGGGTTGGCCCACGCTCTGAACTGCTCGCACTTTGTTTTGAGAGCCAAACATGTGGACTGCATTATTTTAGGTTGCAAACCAGGGACACCCATATACACAGAAAAGAAGCTAACTGGAGCGAGAACAATGGGTTCTTTAGTGGGTCTAAGCACCCGTCAGCTTAAATTCAAGAGTTCAAAGCCAATTCCAGCTGTCCTGGATTGTCCCTCGCTTGTAAAGAGCCTATAAGCAAACTGTTAATTTAGAAACACCTAGCTGAGATCATTAATGGATGAAATCTGGTGTTAAACCTTGCTCCACTCTCCAGAGCAGTGCTTCAGCCCTAGGGCATCTCCTGATACCTGGGGTGCTACTATCTACCCACATTTGTCTTTTTGTGACCTTCTCTTTTAATCGATGAGCAAAAAAACCCAGAGGAATACGTCACTTCACTTCTTCATTTTCTCCTGATTTACTCTGTTCCCCTTTCTGTAATAGCTGCAACATGAAGTAGTTTTGATAGAGTAATGCTTTGCAAATTTGGCTCAAGGAGACACTGAGCAAACAGCTTTTCAGCAAGCTTCAGCTCAGCTGTCAGAAGGGGCAGTTTGGTCTCCGGGCAAGTAATACTCACATTCCAACTTGCATTAGAGGAAAGCTGGTGGGTCTGTATGCCTTTTTATTATCAGTTCCAGATTAGGAATCTGATGCTAATTTCTTCTTAAAGCCTGTGTTTGCAGTAGAATTGGTATTCGAAAACAAAAAAGGATTGTGACGTTTTTCTCTCTCTCACTCGCTTGCCTTTTTTTTTTCCCCCTGGCTTTACTCCAAGGACCTTTCCTGCTTGTTTGTTGCATTCTCAAGATGAAGCCCCCGGTGGTTATAGCGGTGCTGGTAGTACTGGTGCAGGTTTCTCAGAGTTTCCCTGCCTTGTACCACAGAGGTTGGTGGAGACTGCTAAGGGAAGGAGATAGTTGTGGAAAATGTGATTTGGCACTTTGCTCTGAGCCTACACACTGTCCAGCGGGGACTGTACTGGATCGCTGTGGCTGCTGTCCTGAATGTGGAAACGTGGAAGGTCAGATCTGCGACTTGGACCAGGGTAATCATTTTTACGGGCAGTGCGGAGACAACCTGGAGTGCAGGTTGGATGCTGATGAAGCAAGGTTTGGGGAGGTGCCTGAACCCCAGTGCGTGTGCAAGTCTCAAGAGAGCGTCTGCGGACCTGAAGGGAAAACCTATGAGAACATCTGTCAATTCAACAAGGCTTATGCCACCAGAGGAAATATCAGCGTGAAACATAAAGGACCATGTGAATCAGGTAACACATACTGAGATGCTTTCAAACTAAAGAAAGAGCTAAATCTGATTTTTAGGTGTGTTACTAAGTTCTTTGGTTCAACAAACTAATACTGCATTTTTGTTATAATTTCATTATTTCACTACAATATTACTTTGTGCTTAAACATGCAGTTCAGCAGTTGATGCTTAATCTTGTATGTTATAAACCTCTATATTAGCCTAGTGGATTTTACATCATGTGGCCACTAATAAGCCACAGCCCTACAGACTAGCTCTGCTCTGAATAAGCAGAGTGTGTAACTGTTTTTACAAAAATTTTATGTGTATTTGGGACTAGATGGGATAGTTAAATGATGAGGTGAGGGAGGACTGGACAAATAACTATTATTATATGAAGACTGACCTGATATTAATGGGGTGACAGCAAGACAGACCTCGCACACATATGTCTACCTGTGTGTATATAGCGTAATCGGTGAAGCAGAGGAACGAGACTAAGATAGGGCTTAATTAAACAGGTCTGTTCTTGTTAGCAAAAAAAAGAAAAAAATCAGAATAATCAAATTTAGCAATCTTTACAAAATCCAAGTACCCATGGTTTGGAAATCCAAATATTAGGGCAAAATCAAACCAAAAGGTTTTCCCTAAAGACATTTACAATCATGCTGAATACATGAACAGCAGTCTGAGAAGAAGACTGTTAGTGGAAGGATTCTTAGCCAGCTCGCACACGAGAATCTGTCTCCCGCTCGTAGGCTGTACCCATTCTTTGCAATGACTATAAGTCGTTACTCCTGGACACGTTTCATGAACACCTACGTCACATGAATATAAAATGAAAAGGTAAAAGTGAACAGAGCTCTTTTCTGCATAAGACTTTTTTTTTAAGTTAATGAAGTATTTTCTCAAATTAAATTAGTAGATGATGTCTTTTGAGTCACAAATGGGTCACAGTTCTGGGAAAACTGCATCCAGAAGTGCATCTCTGGCAAAGGTCCCTCTATGAGAGTAGCTTGGGTACCTTTTACCCACTCCTTGCTGGCAGTCTATTGCCTCCAATTTAGACTGTTTGCAGTGTTTTTATATTGAATGAATGCTGGATATTGAGTACTTAAAAGGAGAAGTGATGAACAGCTAGTACCAGACTTCTTTCTGCTTTCTCTAGTTGCAAGAGACACATCCATTAAAGAATCCCTTATTTGCCATTACAGCATTAAACTGGGAAGCGAGGCTCGTCAGTAAAGAGACATTCAGAAAACTCAATGCAAATCAGCTAACAGTGTGATTGAAAGCCTGTTAGGTCCTGCGGAGATGCTCTTATTTGGGATTAAAAGAGCCTTAATTCTTGCAGCACAACCCTTCCAGGAAGATTTCAGTTTGAAGTGCCACTCAAATGACAACTGATCTTAACTTTGCAGTAGAGGCAGCTGTTGAGGCATACAGGCTCAAAGCAATGGTTAACTCTGAATAATTTAACAGACCTGGCCATGTACAAAAAGCTTTAATTTGGAAGTGCTAGCATTTTTAACCGGTGATGTTGTCAGCCACCTGGAGCTGTGCAGCCCCCTCTGAGGTGCTTAATACGACTCAGCAAGCAGTAAGGACAAGCTGAACTGCTCTGCGTGCAGCCATCATCGCCAGGACTTCCCCTGTCTCCACCGAAAGGCCAGATCGTCCTTCCAGGAACATGCAGAAATTTCCTAGAATAGCTCAGCCTGAACTGCATAGGAGCCTGGGGAAAAAGTTCATAGACTTCTCACTGCTGCACAGAGTTTAGGCAAAATGGTGACTCTTGCAGAGAAAAGTGCCCAGCTGGTGTATGGACCTGGCAGAGCAATTGCGGGTGCTCACCTTCCCAGCATGGGGGGAACGGAAGGGCTCCTCTGCTCACCTCTTCCCAGCTGGGGGTTGACCAGGCTGGTTTTGTAGATTGTTTTGGAGCCTGTCAGTCAAGGCAGCGGGCAGCAGCAGGGCATGGAGGTGCTACCACGGTGGCACCCTGCCTCCGTCCCCCTTAGGGGGGTCTAGCAGAAAGTCCCTTCTTCGCCACGGCAGGTATTTGAAGCAGCGCAGTGGGCATGTGAAAGGGCACAGTGACTCGCACTGATTTTACAGGGCTGCAGCTGATGACAAAAGGCAACAGGGAGCCAGGCTGCACGAGGAGCAACCTAGCTGTGGCACTGCCTTTGCGCTGGCTCCGATTTGCATGAGAAACAAACACTGAACACTGTGGGGTTTTGGTACCGTTCTATAAATATAACCTTCGCTCAACTCCAAGTACTTTGTTTTGTTATTTCCCCTTCAAAGCATCTGCTGTGTCCTATTGATGCCAAATGGATTAATTGTATACAGCAACCAATGCATAAATAAATAACAATAAACCCCTTTCATCAGAAGAGTATAGCCTTTTATCTTTTGTCTATCAGCAGAAAAAGAAAAAGCAAGGGGGGGGAAAAAAAAGGCCAAGCTCCCTAAAGTAACAGTGTGAAAAAAGCCCTTGTTTTCCTCAAAGACTAGTTTTGATCAGTTTCTCTAATAATTTACCAAGGTTACTAAGTACGTTGATTATATACAGATTCTCCACACTTAATCCATCCCCAGTCAAATCTCTCTTGCTGATGATTTAGCAAAGCAACAGAACAATCTAGCAGTGATTTTCTGTATAAGTAGTTGTGCCACATAATAGTTTATTGTAAATGTAAATTTTGGAGTAAAAACCAGACTAACCCACCAAATTTTCTGCCATTTTCATCAAGTCAGACCTGGAATAGAATGAATCTCAGTTAAGGAGAAAAAAATTTTTGGATATTATCTAATTCTTTACTCTGGAGAGATATTGGGTGACAGTCCATTAGAAGTGAAGTAACATTTTCATTCTGTCTAGCTTCTGGTTTACGTATGTCCTCTGTAACATAGGAGGGTAACTCATGGCTGGAACTGTAAGAAGCAAGGCGCAACTACTGCACATTCACCTTAGGACAATGAGGTATTAGGACATAGTCTATAGCTATCAAGAAAAATTTACTTACTCCTGGAATTAAAATGATTGGTTATCGTAACAGCAAAGCTCTGTTTTTCAAAGACACAGTAATATAAAAAGTGCGCACAGACACGCATGGGTGAAGTTGGCTGAACACAAAATACAAAACCCTCAAAAACAAAGTTTGGAAATTTCTCTTAAAATACTACACCGTGACTTTACCTTTCTGCTGTAACACTTACGTCATTTCTGAAGGCACTTTGAGTTTGATTAAATAATGTGAATATTTAGTGAGCGTTCAGATTCAGAAAGGCAGTTTGGTCTGATCAAAACGGTGGTCTTTCCTACGTGCTGTGAGTTTGATCTCACATGATGTCGAGCTGGTCTGCCTTTGTCCAGCAGAGCCCTAAAGTACATACTTGAATGTACTCAGCTGGGTGAGACCCGCACTGCATCTAGACATTTCCAGCTGAGCTATCATCTAGATCCTCTTCGCATTTAATGGAGAAACAGGTAAGTCTAGTGTGGAATTCACCTTAGTGTATGGTAGGCAGTGCTAAACAAATTTCTCGTACGTGAACAACTATAAAGTAGATTTGTAAATGAGAACTTTACGTCCCTCAAGCTAAGCATGTGTTTCCATGGCACAGGGAAGCCAGTGCACGCAGCCATGCACGGCTGAGCCCTGCCTGTGGACAGGCACATAAGCAGGATTCTGGACTTGGGAGTATCTTGGTGAGGCCAGTATTTCAGTAGGGTACCTGTGTTAGTACAGAAACAAAAGCTTCCCAAAATTAAGCCAGAGTACTAACCAGTCAACATTTGCCTATTTAAAAAGTTTGCTCACCCTATCTCTATATAGGAATAATTTAAATAACTAATGTGAGTCAACATACACATGTTGGCTTCTTCTTGCATATTAAGCTTAAACTACAGCGGATAGTACCATTAAAAGCAGTGCAGTTGCACCGAACTTTAATGTTTCAACGTGTGTTTTAACATCAGATCCTACATGATAAGTTCATAGGCAATGCTGATTTGAATAAGAGATTCTGGAAACGGTAGACAGGTTGTGACTATCCAGTTCTCATGAAAGAATAAGAATTTAAAGGTTTAAGAATCTTAATAAGTTTGACAATCTTATTTTTGAAGAGTACCAGGACTGTTTAATAAGGAAGTCATAAACGGGAAAATAGACACTCTTCTCGATAATTTGTTTGTGATTAATTTTGATCAGTATGCATTTGATACTTTCTGTACGGAAATCAGCTATTGAAACATGTATTAGAAACATTGTTTGGGAACCTGGAACAGGCTGCTATAATTTCAGATGCTGGCACATAAATGCTGTATCTACATATTGATTCAAACCCTGCAAGTAAAAATATTTTTACTAGTTACCAGAAGTTTCCATTTCCAAAAAATAGTCATATAAGTCTAATAAGTAATAAGTCTAATGGCCTAGAAAATGTATTCATTTTTTAAATCTGGCAAGGAAATAAAAAGAGAAGGAAAACATACTTTTGAATGAAAAACATTTCTTGCTGAGGACAAAGTTGTGATAACAGCAGATAATGTTATTTTCTTCTCTGCTGCTACGGAACATGTCTTCTACTGTTAATATTAAGTTTGTTCATACATATTTATAGAGGGTTATGTATTTAAATCATGTAAGAATACATCAGGAGATGTTTATTTTCTTAATGTCTTCAAAGCCCTGGATTGGCTCCCTCTACCGGTTTACATCAGCTTTTTCTTTGGGATAAAGTGGGAGAGGATAATTCAGAGAGGAAATAGGTAAGTGGAGAAGAACAAGGGTAAGAGGGTGATAGGAAACAAGTAAGTAGAAAGCTAATAACTGTAATAAACATACTGTATAGAAGTAACTGGATTTCAAGTACTTTTATTAGCTCATGTCTCATACTCATGCCTCAGATGAAATTGAAAGATAAGTGTAAAAACCTATTAAAAATATTGCTGTTACTCTGTTAACTTGCTGCAGTGAGTTCCATGGATTGTTGAGGAGACAAGCTTTTAGTAAGTTCAAAGCAATGATGTACACAGAAAATCAATTTTGATGACCTAGCAGTTTCAGTATTTTAGATTTTAAGCTAACCCAAATGTAACAGAATTTAAGAAGAACTGTCTTCTATAATCATGTTATTCTACGACTGACTACTACAGAATTTCTCGCGCTTTCCTCCAAAGGTCTAGCCTAGTACTCGCTGCTAGACTGGTGAGTCGAGTCTGTAATGACAGTTCTTGGGACGCAAACTAGACCTTTAATTTCAGTTTAGGTTTCATGACTGTTCGCATGGAGAAAGGACAGGCAGGCCCTTTGGAATATATAGGAATAATGTATCTTTAAATCGTCTGCTCACCCTTTAATGGGACACGTGCTCTGAGCTTTAAAAGCCACAGCTGTCTGCGTTGTTAGACTGTTTACGTTCCTACACAGCACTGGGAATCATGGGGCTCTTGATACTGTTCTTGAAGTGAGATGGCAAAAGGCAAACTGTTTTTGTCATATAAAATAGGAATTTATGTTATAAGCGCTAGTATTTTGTGTTGTTTGGGGTTTTTTTGCTCACTCTCTTCTAAAGAAGTACTCTCTGTCGGTTCTTTGCAGCTCCTGTGATTTCTATGCCACCGCAGGACGCCCAGAATTTCACCGGCAATGATATCATTTTTGGCTGTGAGGTGTCAGCCTATCCTATGCCACACCTTGAATGGAAAAAAAAGGGGAATAAAATGTTTCTGCCAGGAGATGACGCCCATATCTCAGTACAGGTAGAACATGGGTTCTCAATAGGTCTTATGTTTGGGGATAAGGAATAGGGGGATTAACAAATTAATTTATCCTGTATTTGGTACGCAGACTAGGTTATCTGAAGGTAAGTAACGGGATACGATACTGTTGCAATAAACAGATTCCCAGTCAGGGCCCTGTGATTATGTAAAGAATTCTGATTTCAGCCAGTGCAGTGAGCATTGCTTTGGCAGTCCAAGAAGAAGAAACCACAGAGAGGGTACAAACCAAAGAAAAGATGGAAGCTTCTGCTTATGTATGGCTCTGGAAGAATGAGTCAGTACAGAAATGGAAATGTTTAGCCTACTACCTAAAAGAAAGTTCATGCTGGGAAAGATGATTGTGGGCAACTTCTTTTTTTTTCTACTTTTGATGCAGGTGCATAATTCTCGCAGACGTCCCCAGAAAACCAGAGCAGTTGTTCATCATCTGCTTTGTGAGATGCTGGTTCTGGAGACCTGCCATTTGGGTTGTGTTCAGCCCCTGAGCGTTCAAAAGGAAAGCAAAGAAACTTTATAATTGTATGGAGGACACTGTTTTAATCTGAGAGAAAAGAGCAGAATAGCATTAGTAGGGACTTCAAGCAAACTGAGAAATAACCGTGAAGTCTGGGCTAAAATTAAAGTAACTCAAACCATAAATTCTTTTTAATGGAAGTAACATTCCTGGAAAAAAGAGTTAACAAAGCCAGAGGTACAGGTAAACTGCAGTAAACCTGCAGCTAGCACCAGAATGCCTTCCCCAATGGACAAAGCAGAAGATAAAGAAAGACTGTGCAGGGACATGCATGTCACTTTTAGCTTCCTGGATACACAGCCCAAAAGTGAGAAGATGCAACAGACATGGGACACAACCTGAACAGAGGTCGACAGAAAAAACTAATTAAAGAGTCTCCTGGAGTACTAAGAGTATAAGTTACTTAGAAATGTAGCATGAGGCAGCATGAACACAATTAGAATTAGCAGACTTAAAGTTGCTCAGAAACAATGGTATAAGGAGCCACTTCCATCAACTCAGAGGCTAGACTGAACATTGTCAACGTCTAATATAGCGAGCATGAGAACGCGGCTGTTAACATTTGTTAATTGTTATATGTGACTAGTTTGAAAAGAAAGCTCATCCCTTTAAGAGGCTTTAGTGTGATTCAGTTGAAGCTGGATGTCGCAAAGATTGAGAGCTTGTATTACGTCATCCCAATACATTAAAAACTGGATGCTAAGTGTTAACTTGGTCAAGCCCCTTGGCCCTGAACAACCCACCCAGATTCGTATACTGTTCCCACTCTGAAGAAATTCATGAGATTGAGAAAAGTGCCTTTGAAGCAGCAGAGAAGTGGAGCCCAGGTGAGACAGGAGGAGTGCTGGGAAGCAGAAGCATCAAGAGGCTCAAGAATTAGAGCACCGGGGTAGTGAAGTTTAAAAAGCTGCACAGGGGAAGCATGAACTTAGGGCCACAGAGACAAGAGGGGCAGAATCAAATAGTTTGAGAATCAAAGCATGATAGCAGTACAGGGCAAGCAAAAGCAAACGTTGGAACGTTTAATTCAGACACAATTATTTTGAAAAATATCATAGTGTCTTACAGTTACTCAATCTCAACTCATTTCTTTGTCTTCTCAAAGGCAAGAGGTGGGCCTCAGAAGTATGGTGTGACTGGCTGGCTGCAGATTCAAGGCCTCAAAAAATCAGATGAGGGTGTCTACATCTGCCATACCAAAAATAAGTACGGTGCAACATATGCCTCTGCAAGATTGAAAGTCATTGATGGTACTTTTGTTTGTTATTTGGATGCAAAGAATATAAAAATGCATAAGTAAGGCAAGCAGCCAGCAAAGGGCATGGGTTTGTCGTAAATGGGTATGAGAGGGATATGAGAAATGACCCAGAAGATTTCCATGTTTAGACTTTCTTTGTGTGTTTTTCTTACTTTATCCCTTCAAAAAGGTACAGTTCTAGGTATTTTTAGTCAGAGGCGCATATGAATTCTGGAAAAAAAAATACTGACATGTTAATTTTATAGTATTTTGCTACAAATTATACCATCTTCCAGTACAACAGAAAGATGTAGCTTATAGCCACAGAGCTGAGACAAGTAGTACTCCCCTATTCTTGTCCTACACAAGCCCTTTGATGTTAGCAGGGGCTCTGCACCCAGAACAACAGCTGTTGGAGCCAAGGCAGTATTTGAACCATGGCGCTTCTGCTCATCTGTTTACTTTTCAAAAGTTAGAAAGGAAACAGTTGTTGCTTTTAACAATAGTGTTTGGAAAGATAAATGAAATAGCTTTGCTGTTGTTTTGCATTGGAGCCAGTCCTGCAGGATAACGTCCTTCTGTCTCCATCCTTCTGACTTTTGCTGGCAAATGCAGGATAAAGACACATTGTCTGTATCTGCCTCCTGATGTAGGGCTTTTCTACTCATCAGCAAGCTTGCTTCTGCAAGCGGTTTTCAAAGCATTATTGCCTTTGGCTGTATCTTTAGGTGCAGAGAATTTTCATAGTTTACTAGTATTTGGAATTAAATGTGTTTTCAACATGTTAACTGTGAGTGATACAGAAATTTGGGGCTCATCTGTCATGAGCTTTAGTGGTATGAGCTCGAGCCATTGGATAGATCCACTTTTTTTTTTTTTAAATATGACGTCTCTGACTAACAAGGATTGAGGAACGTTGGCTTTCCTGTACAAATCCAAAATCTTACCTTCCTCTTCGTTCCTCTTTACAGCTAATTTAATCTGGAATCAATTATGTCTTGGTGTGCAGGTTCACCTTCCACATTTGCATTTACTGCTGGCAGTAGAAGTGCAAGCTACAACACTGATTATGACGCCTATTATGACCATTCTGAAGAGGAAGATGAGGAAGAATATGAATCTGGGGACTATGAAAATTGAAACGGCTGATAATAATTTTTATATATCTGTTGTCCAGTACCTTTCACATTCAGTTATATTTACTAGTATAACCTGTGCTGTAAATGGCTGCTCTGGTAACACTGTTATTCACCTGTGAACTCCACCTTCCTCAAGGAATTCAACTTGGGCTGAAGTATATCATGCTACTTACCACAAATAAGAACAGATATAAGTTCATACATTTAGACTGTTAAATAAAATTCCTGAACATGTACCTGCCTATTAATTATCCTGAAAGGATCAACGTTTTATATTAATTTTTTTAATGGTAAATTATTGTATAATTTCTTTAAAATATTCTAATTTGTTTACCAAAAAATGTCCATAGTTAAACCAAAATTTACCTTGCATCAATTTCTTGTTTCCTGTAATGTACTAAGAAATATCAAGAGATTGTTCACATAGCAACAAGCATAAGTAAGAAGGCTGCAAACAGTCTTTAATCTCCTTAGTTCATGTTTTCTTTTACGTTCCAGGAAGATTTTTCTTTTCTTGAAATTTTCCATCAAGGGTGAATTATCTGCAATTTGATGTTTTATTTAAATAGATACATGAAGCAATCACCGTCTTAAGCAAGTTAGCGTTGTTTTGCCAGCAACACTCAGAAAAACACGGGAAGCATTTCTTGTGCATCCACACTGACGAGCACATCACGAGTTCTTTCTATACCATTTTCCAAGCTGGTCCTAGCAGCGTCTACTCCTTCCCGTTAGCCTAGACAATGGTTCAAGATTTGGGATCGTTACTTATGCCTTCATCAGCATTATGTTTGGTGGGAATTACTGCAGTTTAAGGAAGATGGCTGTTCCATAGCTCTGCACATGCCCTTCAAACACATGGAGAGCTTCATAACGGATCCAGTGTTTGCCCCTTCTGGACTGTCCAACAGTATCTGTCCCACCTACACTATTTCCAACCTGCATGCATTCAGGGTTCCCACATCCAACCGTGTTTCTGGAAATGCCAGACAGAAAAGCAGGCATTATTTTCTTTCCTAAAACCACACCATAAACGTATTTTTCAAATTGTGTCAATCACTTCCAGATCAGCATGAACCAGAAAGCAAATCAAATGCAACTCAAAAACACAAGACTTTGGAATGTAAAATGACCAGCCTGGAAAACTTCTCCAATTGCTTTTTCTAACCTATTACATGAGGTCAGGCTCTGCATTAGTGGGTGCTGGAACTTTCTCCAAGCTTCAGACACCAGACTAAAAACCACTTTTGGGAGGCCTTTTCACCCATTAGTTCCTATCGGCTGAGTAGGACGAAAATCAGTAAATTACTCAAGTGTTTCACTTATGACTAAGGAAGCAAAAGTTCAGCCACCTGAGTTTAAAGCCTCATTATCTGCAATCTTCTTTATCCAATGCACAAAACCATATAGTGACTACTATACACACTGAGATAACTCAAAGTTGAATGAATCATACGAGGGAAGTTTTAAGGGCAATCTTATTGTATGCATATATACACTTTGTAGGTTTTTTGAATGTATATACAGCACATCACGAACTCCTCTTTTAATGTATATACAGCACAACACAAACGTGTTGTTTTGTGCTTCTTTTGCCGTTAGACAGATATTTTTTCATTCAGCTTGAATTACATTAATAGATTGGCTATAGATTGTGTTTGCCCTGAGGTATTATTGATCTTTGTCCAGGTAGCAAACAAGCAAAGGATAATTTGTTTTGTTTTAGACTTCCTGGAATATTGTCAACTTACGAGTAGAAATCATGCCATTCTGTCATTGAAAAGATCATTTCAATTAGGAATATCAAATGATTTCAGATATAACTACTGGTTTTGTTGTTACGGGCTCTTCCTGGTCTTGTTAGTGATATGTCTTAAGAGTTTTTTTGCTTATTAACTGCATATTAATTTGAATAGAAAATTGTCCAGTAGAAATAACTAATTAAAAAAATGGGTATTTTGTAATGGAATTATTTAATCTGCAGATACCCATTGAAGATCAGTTGTGACCTACATTACAAATGAATGAATTTAGATTACTAAACCAGCCACTAAATTGTGGCATAGACTAAAATATGGCAGAGAAAATAATATTAAAAACATTAGCCATAGAAATGAGCTGTAATTCTTCATGGTCTGCTATTGTTGCTAATGTAAAATGAGAAATAGAAAAAAAAAGCAATAGTTGAAGGAGAAAACATGTAGCAGAACCATATGAAATACTGGACTGAGGCTGTTTGACCTGATGGACTATGTCGATTTAAAAAAGCAAGCCGTTCTAAAACAAAGGGCTTTAAATTAAATGCATTGTATTTGTGTATGTGTGTATTTTTAATATATTTAATCATTCATTTTGCTGTCAATTATTGTAATTCCTCTTCCTTTCAGTAAGAAAACTGCATGATTGGAAAAATCCCAAAGTAATGGAGAAAAAAAGAAGGAACATTGCTACCATAATCCTTTCCTAACTCTTCTTCGAGGGGACAGAAAAGAGTTGGTTTTGTTTATATGCTTTAATCAAGTCACTGAAAATTAAATACAAAGAGGGAGAAGATTCAATCCTCTCTAAGGAGCATTGCAATGAATGGATCTAATTGTGAATGCAATGCCTGTAGCAACAGATCTATTCACATAATCCAAAGTAACAGCAAATTCAGGAAGTTGCTGTTATTCCACCTAGCAGAAAATGAGAGACAGCCTTGAGCTGGAAACAGAATAGTAATACTGCAGGGAGGTCTCAGTACTGTTTCTTGTGAGGCAGATTTACAACCTTTCTTTAATTCAGCTTCCATGGAGCGCAGCAAGAATTCTGGTGTTATCTTCCATGCAAGCAAGTTTGAATTTTATGGCACGACCTCCTCCCCGGCAATGCCTGTCACACAAGCATCTTGTCTGTGTTATTTCCACCTCCCCACGCAAAGATGAGGGAATTATATAAAATGTTCCTGAATAAATTACACCCTTTAACACAGGTTTGTCCTTTGGGCTAGGACTCTGACATACTCGGAGCTAGTTTTACAATTTAACATTCTTATTTGCTATGTTAAATCTCAGGAGTTTGTTAGGTATTAGTCTGGGAATCCATTAATTCTTTAGCTAGACCAATTTTTTTTTTTTCCTCAGAATAATCAGGCTACAGTTGACAGAAATTGGATACAGAAATGCAATTGCCCGTGTCTGAGAAAGATTAAATTGATGAATAAAAAAAAGGAACAAACAGTTATATGGCCACACTGTGCAGCTGAGTACCCAGTGAAGTAAGTGCTCCTTGCCTACCTCCTGTTACAAGCACTGAGATCGTAACTTCTGCATGTGCTCATCTGTCAACACAGAAAGACCAAGACCAAGGCCAGAAGGGAACGGGTGTTTCTGCATAAAAAGAAACACAAGCTCGCAGTTGGCTCAGTATCGCAGAAGCCACAAACTCTCTCTCTCACACTTAGCTACCTATGCTGTCCCTACATTATGCTAAGCTTTTAACTTCTTGACCTTGTTTCTGCATGTCTTTGCACAGCTTAGCTGCATAGCCTAGGCAATGGTCCCTCACTGAGAGCAAAATTCATAAGAGTTATTGCTGAAGCTGAAACCCTGCTCACAGGGTCAAGGTCTTTAAAGGACATGCAAGACCTTTTCAACCTGCATTGGCAAGCAGGTTCTGACTCTTTGGCTAGTTTATGACTATACTGCATCGGAAATTATCCCACAGTATCTGTATTATAATATATACTTAACTTTTCTCAGCCCCGAGTCACTGTTTCGTTCCACATTTCCCTGGTCTTGGGAATTCCTGTTTTGATCTGGCCCCTCTGGTCTCCTTTTACAATGTTTTGTTCTCCTTCCTCTGTGTGTATCTCCAGCCCTTTTTTTTTGGTACCTTTTGGCACATTTTGTGACAGTGCCTTTCTTATAGGCTATGACTATACATAAATGACTCTGTTTCTACACAGAGTAAGGGATGTAAAATGGTGTTAAGGCATATGCCACATCTGAGGCACAGTAATTAGGGGACTGAGTAATCTGAGACAGCTTTTGAAGAATGATCCACCTGATTTTCAGAAGTACTGGCCATCAGATTCAGTTGCGAGGGCAAGAGAACCAGAAACCGTTCAAAACCACTTTCCACTTTGCTGTCACTTCGCCAATACTTAACGAAGGAATTTTGTACAAAAGCATAGGATTCAGCTATGATATTTCATGTTACAAGAAATTATTCCTGCCCCATTTAGAGTGTCGTAACTGCTTCTTGACCTCATTGAGAGAAGGTGAATCCAACTAGGAATATCTCAGATTCATTTCTTCATTCTTATTATAAAGAGGCTTTCATTTCCAGAGGATTTCTATCAGGTTGGCCCTCTCATTTGCGACTATTAGGCTTTGTATGAATTTTTTTTTTTTTAATGCGGAAGATGGAGCAGCAGGGAAACACAAATAATTCTACACAACCTGTAAGGTCCCATATCAGCTGCCAACCAGAATAAAAATGTCAGGGAACATTGATCACCGTAGAGTTCAGAGAAGGGATGATCAAGGCAAAAATGCGTCTTAATATATTAGAACATCAAACAGCAAAGTGCCCAATAAGAATTTCAAGCTTTTTCTTCTAGCATTCATAAAAGCTGTCAGTCGGCGAGAGCAATAGTCCTTAGACTTCCTGTGGCTGGGCTTCGCTGTCGCTAAATTCTTGGTATCTTCTTCGCCAGTCTGTGCTGTTATCACTTCAGTCATTGTGCATTGAACATTTGCTGCTGCCTCCCTACCACATCATCTGTTCATGGCATCACTTCACCTGCTGTTATTCATCCTCCTCGCTCCCCATGCTACGGACTCCAGCAGCATCTGTATGAAAGCTAAACTAATACTAGCTGAATTTTACCCTGGGCTCTGTTTGGCTTCATGTTGCAAACTACCACCACTCCCCTTTATTGGGACAGGGAATGCAGAAATGCTTCTCTTGGTTTGGCCTGTCCTACGTTTCTTCGTTAGTGACAAACGCTCGTTGCTCCTCCATCGCATACGACACAGTGTCGGTACGTACATTCTGATCACGTAGGCTGTGACAGCCTGCATAACCCAGGCCACAAAAACTTCACCAGCTTCTGCTCCGAGATAGCAGCTCACGCACCTCCAGCATCACCTTTTAGGAAACTCGTCTCTGTTTAGCGACTGGCAATACACCAGCTTTTGGTGCGAGTCATTCCAGTGGACAACTGCCAGAACTACTTACTTCCGTTCTGAATTTGCC